AGAGATACAGAATGTGTTGTGGAGGTGTTAGAGGAAGCCAAACAACAGACAGGATGGATGCCAGCAGGAAGAGAGGGAGAGCTGATTGGCCAGTCTTACACAGGCTTCACAGTGCAGGGACACCAGAGGCTCATCTCAATTGAATATTTCACCTCCTCCTTTCCCTCACTCGCGTCCCTTCCTTGTGTCTTAGCTCCGCCTCCGTAAGATGCAAGCGAGAGACACGAGGAGGAGACGCGAGGACAGAGGAGTCCTCAGGTATTGATTGGGATTCACTCAAACCAAACGTCACTTTTAAACGACGTCTGTTAATGATGACATGTGCACCCCCCTTAGAACCAGCCCATTTGTTGTTAAATATTTATTTTAATGAATGAATCTTTCTCTTGTTAGTCAAGGAATTCAATGTATGATGGTTGGTCCTGCTTTTGTGTTCCGTTTTGGTGTAACATTTACATTTAAATAAAAATATAATTATAGTAATGTGAAAGCCTTTCCTCTGAAAATGTGTGTCCTACAGATCCCCACATTCACCACAAACCCACATTCAGGACTGTGAATTTTAAATAATTTAACTACTGAATATTTTAACACAAAACTATAAAATAATTGTTATTTATCAAGATCTAGCCATTTATGAAATAGCTTTCTTAATAACTATGTTTTAGTGACGTTCAAGATCATTAAACATGACTTAAATTGTTAGTATAACCTTAAGAAATGAATTGCGCATAATTCCCACGGAGCTGTGAGCACTTATACATTTATGTGGCGCTTTTCCACTCATTCTTCCAGTTCTCCGTTTTCCTATGTTGAAATCGACCAGCTGTGAATGTGGGGGTGGGGCTTTTATACATAGTGAAAACACTTCCGCATGCTCTCGTGTATCGTCCCTTTCGTCTCCTCTGGAAGCCTCCTCCCTCACCCCTCCTCGACTCCTCCGTGTGCATTTCAGCGATTGGGACGTCCTTCAACATGGCGTGTCTTGATCGATTTCCGGGTCAAGTCCCGGAGGAGGGGGAGAGAGGAGTCGAGGAGGGATATTGAGATGAACCTCAGGTGAGACATATCACTGAGGAGCCTCAAAGAGAGATGTCCAGCCTGTCCACCACTCCCCAAACTCCACGGCCCCCAATAAACAGCAAGAATGGCTGAGAGCATCCCAACAGGAATTCCCAAGCAGTTGCCAGCACCATTACACTGCTACATCTCTTTCTAATGGCACATTTCCACTGCAGCGCGGAGCACGGTTTAAGCGTGCCGTGCCAAACCCAGCCCGTTTTTGTTTGCTTTTCCACTAGGGGTAGTTCCGGCTCAGGGCTACTTTTTCACCTTTTTTCTGGCCTTCCAAAATCGAGGTTCTTACTGGGCCAACAACCGGGCTGAATATGCTAAACTAGTGACGTAAACACTCTCGACTGCTGAATGGTCAGAGAGAATCGCTGGCTCGGGAGCTACAACTACAACAAAATGAACATATTTTACCGTGATTTAATTGTAATACACGTTTCTAAATGATGCCGACGTAACAACATACTGATACCAGTTAGTAAAAAACCATGAATTAATGCTTTGACAAGTCTGCAGACAGACTGCAGGCGAAAAACCTTTTAAAATGCATGTTTTCTGAATGGAGATCGGCTAAGCTAACGTTGTATATGCTCCGACCGTCCACACTCACAACAACGGCCTATACAGACATAAATAAACCAGCGACTGTATTCGCCATGACACAGACAGTCTGTGGTTTGTACTTGTTTAACTTTTGTCTAGTTTCTGAACAGATATGAGGAGCTGTGAGCTCTGAGGGCAAACAGCTAACGGCTGATGTTGGTTTTGTGGTTCTCATTGAAGATGACGTCACGGCTCCGCCTACACTGCGTTACTATAGTTCCTGCCACAGCTAGTAAACTGTAATGGAAACGCAGCATAAAGTGAGCCTGGCCTACCAAGGCCTGACCGTACTAAGCCGTGCAAGGCCCTGCAGTGGAAATGCGCCATAAGTCTCTTATCTTTTCCCTCATATCTGTTTTGAGAGTATATTGACATCCTGATACCAGCTTACCTTTATAATGTGTCAAAGGGTTAACAAAATACGTTTTTAACTCAGCCATTTAGCGTTTGTCTGTGGACAGAATCCTTTCATTTGTTAACAAAAGGCTTGTATTTTTGAAAGATTTGCAGAGCAGTGTTGTGGGAAATACAGTGAATTAATTATGTTCCATCTACAAATGAGCTTGCACTTATTAACCTTTTCCACCTTAAATCAATATAAATGTAATTGTTGATATTAATCTATTATTGATGTTCATTATGAAAGGCATAGTCCAGCAGCAGAAGAAGAGCTGTCTGAGTGAGGACACCACTCGGGTGTGACATTATAAATGTACGAGGTTTTTAGGGCTTCAATTCAGGACAAATCTTATATTAAACATTGACAAAAGGTCAGGAATTAAAAAAAGGAAGACAATAAAATTGTGTTGCATTAGTGTTGAATTTAAATTATTCCAATCAAGTTGACCTTTATTTTTGGAGAAGTGGCTCAGCATACTTGCTCTTATGGCAGCTATTGGTTGTAATAACTTGCTTTAAAAAAGGAACTGAAGTCCACTCCGAATGGAAAATGTACATCATTTTGTCAAAGGTTTTTCAATTCACAAGCAATCCAATGGCACACTGGAAAAAGTCTAATTTTCTGATGTCACTAATCGGACAATGTCAATAGCATTAAGGCAAAGGTGCATTGATGATACTTGGTATTGTAAACTCAAGCATTAATGTGCAACTAAATCGCATATTTGTATCCACAGATTTATTAGGATAGCTGCATTTGCAGGGGACATTAGGAGGACATCTGAATTATGGAATCATGTGTTTACTGGTTTGAACTGAGATGAGGCCTATAAACCTGTGTGTTAGTCCGTAGCAGGGTTTATAGTTATGTATTAGAGCATTTGTTTGGTGTTTTGGGAATGAGGAAATATTAGATCAGTTCTATAAATATTTAAGAGGAAGAAAAAACAAGGGCAAGATCATAAATGAGCCTGTACTGTTAACAGTCTGCAGAGTCACAAACCCTCAAAGTACACCCTGTAGCGACACACACACACACACCACACACACACACACACACACACACACACACACACACACACACACACACACACACACACACACACACACACACACACACACACACACACACACACACACCACACACACACACACACACACACACACACACACACACACACACACACACACACACACACACACACACACACACACACACACACACACACACACACACACACACACACACACACACACACACACACACACACACACACACACACACACACACACACACACAACTAGTTATAAATATGTTTATTTTTACTGTCGGCCGGGTCACTCATTACTGGATCAGCTGCTGCATGAAACAGACACTGACGCTGTCCGAAGAGAGGGAGGAAAAAGAGAGGCTGATCTGCTGACGAGGCTCCATTAAAATATAAATATTTTTAGTGAATTACTGAGTTTAGGCACGTTAATAACGTTGTAATGAAGTTGAATACAGTATATTCACATGTGTCAGTGATTTCATGTCAATTCGGCGAACATAAACATAAATGATCGTGGTGAAGATGATGATTAAATTCGGATTAAAAATCGAGAGCCGAGCTGCATTTCCTCCTGTTCGTTTTTTTCGACTAAACAACATTATTTTGTTAAATAACAACATGGTGATGTTTTGTAAATGATTACATGTCTCTTATTTAGCACAGAGTATGATATCCGTGACATATGGATCTTAACAAAGTTCCGTTTTGTATTCTGCTTCCATGCGTATTAGTTTTGAATAAGCTGCATAATCGTAATGTAAACATGAATAATCCGACAGCGTTTTCAGATCCAACTGAACCGGTAAAACTGGTCCAACTGGTGCTTAGTGAGCTTTGTGCCACACGACACCTCCATCAGTTTACAATCCATGCACTCTGAACACTGGTTACCTTGAGGACAATTATTATAGCTTTAAAACTATAAGAACAAATAAGATAGAGATGAAAAGGGTGAGTCTATTTACTCATCAGGGGTACAACCCGTGAAAACTGTTTAATATTCTTTCAAGGCTCTGAAGATCACCTATTACACTGTTTTTCATCAATATATTACAGGTCTCAGATATATACAAAACATGCCTCTGAAGTGTTTAGCTTTAAATACCAAACAGATCAGCCATTGTAGCATCCCATAATCCCCTCTGTTTCAGGCCTGTTTCAAAAGTGCTGATTCTGTGTCTGTTACTTTAGATGAAAATAAGGAGCCACTCCCCACGCCCCTCAGAGACACAAGGAGCTCGAGGAGGTGATAAGGTGGGGGGGGGATACCTTGGTTGGTTATTGGCTAATGGTTACACAAGCCAAACACTCGTTATGACATCATAAAGTGGCCAAAATCTGATCAGCTCATTTTCAGACAGGTTTTTATAGAAATGGATCAGGACAAAAAGTGAGCTTATCTTTTTTCCTGAAACTTTCAGAATCTCTTTTTACCTATTATGCAAAATCCATGTCTTTTATACATAAACATGTGTCCCCTATACATGTTTATGTATAAAATACATGGATTTTGCATAATAGGTGACCTTTAAGTTAAAAAAACAACAATGATGTCATCACGGTTATTTCTGCTGGGCATGGATGTATAAAGAGAATTTGATTGAGCTTTGGAGGCAGAAATTCCTTTTTCCATTGGGCCAATAGAACATGCGTACTTGTGTTCGCCTCTACTTTTGTGTCTTGGCTCAGTCAAATGAATGGAGAGGGAAAATAACTCCGTAAACTGTATTTGGTTTTAAGCTCATTACTCAATTTAGACCCTACTGACTTTAAGGGGCCCTATTATGCAAATGTTCCAGTTGATATTTGTATTTTGTGCCTCTAAATGTGCCCAGTGGTGATGCGTGCAGACGAGATAAAGACGATGCTACTCACAGCTCGAGGATCAGGATGACCTCTGCCTTGTTTTCAAAGACTTCATGGAGCGTGATGACGTTGGGGTGCTGGATGTCCTTCAGGATGTTCACCTCACGCTCGATGTCTTCCCTCGTCACCCCCCGGCGACTCGACTTGCTGCGTCGTTTCTTGATGGATTTGGCAGCGTACTCCACACCCGTATTCCTGTGTCGACATCTTCTGACCACGGCAAACTGTCCACTGGGGGCGGGTGGGGAAAGGATTGTCAAAAAGTGTCATAAAGCCTTGAGATATTAATAATAAACAAATACAAATCTGCATTAAATCATCTCCAAAGCTCACTCACTAACATGTTAACTGTTTCAAGATTTTTTTAATCTTTTGACAGGGGTAGGGGCGGATCTAGAAACATATTCATGGAGTGGCAAGAGGGTGGCAGGAGATTTTGAGGGGTGGCATCCCCTGGCAGAAGTATATGCTGATTTAATCGCAGTTAGGGATGGGTATCGTTAAGGTTTTAACGGTACTACTACTTTTATCTATACCGCTTATCGGTCCAGTCTTTTAACGGTACTCTTATCGGTTCTTTTGGAGAAAAAAATAAGGTAAACTAACTAAACAAATTGTGAACAAAACTAACATTGCTTTTTATTTAAATTAAATACATAATATTTCACATCAAAAGTAACAACAATGTTTTAACAAATCGTATTAAATAATCTGATGACAGAATTGTAAACAGAATAGCTGAAACTTTAACAAAATAAATAACTCAGTTACCTCTAATCATTAACCCATGTTTGTATAATTGAGTTAACTCTGTGTGTTGCTGCTAGCATAAATAACACCTGATGTGGAAACGTTACTCGTGGATGGGGCTACAGAGCTGCTACAAAACGGTGCATTTCTCCGTCTGAATGTGGAGCACTTTTGCTAAATGTTTAGACAAATTGCTCATGCGCCCTTACATGCTAAACTCTTATAGCACTTTTGGTAACGAGCATTGTCCTCATCGAGACGGGTAAAGTTTAACCACACCTCGGAGCGCGTTCTCTCCACCATCTCCTCCGTGTGTGTGTTGCTGCATGTAGTAGCTGTGTGTGTGTAAACTGCCCGGCCCCCTCGCAAGCAGGCGGGGGAGAGAGATCTCTCGCCTGGATTTGAAAGATCGAAAATACTAAAAAGACGCATTTTGCACGCTTTTTGCATATTAGAAACGTAGTTGGCAACACTAAAACTGCAATATAATGTTTGTGTAGCAATAATACATATATTTTTTACATGTCTCCAGTACCGATAAAAAGACCGTTCACGTCGGAGCTTAACGGTACCACGGTCTTTAATAATTCAGCCCCGGGGCCCGTTTAATACCGGGGCTCGGTACCCATCCCTAATCGCAGTCATATCAATCAATGTTAACTTGGAAAGCCACACTATTGATAATTTAACTCAATAACATGACATTATTGTGGCACATCAGTAAAGCTTTAAATATAAATATATAAGGTGGAAGACATAATTGAATGAATTTTAACTGAACAATAACTGAATGAGTTGGTTTCACTCTTAGACCAGCAGGGGTACCAAATATATGCAGGCTGCTGCAATAAGTACATTAATTAACTGTCTCATCGATGTTTGTCTGTATGAATATAATAATATCAACAATCATATCATTCCTATCAGCTGTCAATCAGTGTTATGATTCACATATTCAGTGTTATTATTAAATAAACTATATTTTTTGGAGGAGTTAATGATGAATGTTCCTCAAGATGCTTGCTCACCCTCATATATCAAAATTCAAAAGAATCAAAGGAACAGTTCAGCGCCCCACAACTTCATTGCCAACAGTTACAACCTTGACTTTACATCAGAAAGAACAAACATTAAAGAAGTGACTAACTGCATCAGTTAGGGTTAAAAAAACGTGTATTCAGCTAAAACATATACATCGCTGCAGTTATTATCCAGTGGATAGTGAGCACTTCTCCTTTGCCGAGATAATCCATCCCACATCACAGGTGTGGCATATCAAGATGCTGATTAGACAGCATGATTATTGTACAGGTGTGCCTTAGGCTGGCCACAATAAAAGGCCACTCTAAAATGTTCAGTTTTATCACACAGCACAATGCCACAGATGTCGCAAGTTTTGAGGGAGCGTGCAATTGGCATGCTGACAGCAGGAATCTCCACCAGAGCTGTTGCCCGTGAATTGAATGTTCATTTCTCTACCATAAGCCGTCTCCAAAGGCGTTTCAGAGAATTTGGCAGTACATCCAACCGGCCTCACAACCGCAGACCACACCAGCCCAGGACCTCGACATCCAGCATGTTCACCTCCAAGATCGTCTGAGACCAGCCACTAGGACAGCTGCTGCAACAATCGGTTTGCATAACCAAAGAATTTCTGCACAAACTGTCAGAAACCGTCTCAGGGAAGCTCATCTGCATGCTCGTCGTCCTCATCGGGGTCTCGACCTGACTCCGGTTCGTCGTCGTAACCGACTTGAGTGGGCAAATGCTCACATTCGATGGAGTCTGGCACGTTAGAGAGGTGTTTTCTTCACGGATGAATCCCGGTTTTCACTGTTCAGAGCAGATGGCAGCGTGTGTGGCGTTGTGTGGGTGAGCGGTTTTCTGATGTCAATGTTGTGAATCGAGTGGCCCATGGTGGTGGTGGGGTTATGGTATGGGCAGGCGTATGTTATGGACGACGAACACAGGTGCATTTTATTGATGGCATTGTGAATGCACAGAGATACCGTGACGAGATCCTGAGGCCCATTGTTGTGCCATTCATCCACGACTATCACCTCATGTTGCAGCATGATAATGCACGGCCCCATGTTGCAGCATGATAATGCACGGCCCCATGTTGCAAGGATCTGTACACAATTCCTGGAGGCTGAAAACATCCCAGTTCTTGCATGGCCAGCATACTCACCAGACATGTCACCCATTGAGCATGTTTGGGATGCTCTGGATCGGCGTATACGACAGCGTGTTCCAGATCCTGCCAATATCCAGCAACTTCGCACAGTCATTGAAGAGGAGTGGACCAATATTCCACAGGCCACAATCAACAACCTGATCAACTCTATGCGAAGGAGATGTGTTGCACTGCGTGAGGCCAGATACCGACTGGTTTTCGGACCCCCCCCAGACCCCCCCAATAAAGCAAAACTGCACGTTTCAGAGTGGCCTTTTATTGTGGCCAGCCTAAGGCACACCTGTGCAATAATCATGCTGTCTAATCAGCATCTTGATATGCCACACATGTGAGGTGGGATGGATTATCTCGGCAAAGGAGAAGTGCTCACTATCACAGATTTTTTCAGATTTGTGAACAATATTTGAGAGAAATGGTTATTTTGTGTATATAGAAAATGTTTTAGATCTTTGAGTTCATCTCATGAAAAATGGGAGCAAAAACAAAAGTGTTGCATTTATATTTTTGTTCAGTGTATATAGAGACTGAGGACAGTAGACATGAGTAATTGAAATAGATTGGCTATATCTGCATCAAAGACACAGAGCTCTGAGCCTAAAGGAGTGGGCGGGATAATAGGGCATTACAAACTGTTGATTCCAAACAGCTTTGATTAATAACCGATAACATCCTGCCTGGCGCTGTAATATAACTTGTGTAGCAATGAGAGCTAATTAAATACCCACGTAAGTATTCAGATTAAAGTCAAGGTGAAAAAAAAGTCAGGTGGTGTTCGGGAAACAATTTTATCTAAATCTAATTATTCTGTAAGGACTATATAAATGATCATCTTATGCCTTATATCTCACAACTTTGTTCCTCTATTAATCCCAAAATGTGTCTCGAATGAACAAAAAAAATCTCCTTCTGCACTGGAAATTGGTATTAGTGCATATTTCGGTAGTTTAATCGAAATACCTGCCCTCATCCTCAGAAACCCCTCAGATCAGTTTGACGATGGTTTGTAAATGATATCCAAGCAGCACAACAGCACACAGATCAGGACAACAAAACAACATAGGAGCAGTAATCCTACATCCCACACACTCAGAAGCAAAGACCTTAACTGCTTATATCAAATGTGCCATTTACCACAATGAAGGAATATCAATTAGTGCTGTAACGACGCATCGACTTCAAAATCTCGTCGACGACAGATTTCCTCGTCGACGCATCGCCACACACACGTGGGTCACCCAAAGCAACAAGCAGTTCGCAATCACACTTCAAACACAATGGAGACTGAAACGGCTACCACCTCCTCCTCACAGGATTGCGCACGAAGCCCTGCAAAAAGCCCCCAAACAAAAACATCTCGCCCTAGGTCTTCAAAAGCATGGGAATACTTTACATTTAGTCCAAAACGCAAAGGCATTGTTATTTGCAGTCTTTGCCAAATGGAGTTGGCATACCACACTAGCTGTGTTGGAGCATTTAAAGCGGAGGCACCCCCTTGTCTCTCGTGAAGGGAACAATGATAAGTAAGTACTAACTTTGGCTAAATTAATTCCACGTTTGTGTAGTGTGTTGTGCAGCTTGAGTTCTGTGCACTTCGGTAGTGCTAACTATCTTATAGCTCTCCGTGCGGTTTGTTCGTGCTTGGTTGGTTAGTAGTTAATGTTAGCTACCTAGCTAGCGGTGCCAGCTGTGTGTTAGTTAACGTTTTTCAGCATTTAATGTTGGCTGGAATGGTAGCTAGTTTACGTCTGCAGTACACCGCTATCTAGCCACTACTAACCCGGAACGAACTAACTGCACAGAGAGCTAACTCATGTTGTGGTCCTTTACGAGTCAAACATAACATTAGACTAACGTTAGTCAGCTTATGGCGCGTTTCCACTGCAGCGGGTAGCTCGCTTTAAGCGTGCCGAGCCATGCGGGGCCCGTTTTTGGTTGCGCTTCCACGTGGCCTAGTTTTGGCCCGGGGCTACTTTTTCACCTTTTTACTGGCCCGACTAAATCGTGGTTCTAGGGCCAGGAACAACCAGGCTGAGTCGGGCTGAGTATGCTAAACTAGAGAGAGAATCGCTGGCAAGGCGGCTACAACTACAACAAGATGAACATATTTGACCGTGATTTAATTGTAATACACGTTTCAATATTATGCCGAAGTAACAACATACTGATACCGGTTAGTAAAAACCATTAATTAATGCTTTGACAAGTCTGCAGACAGACGGCAGGCGAAAAACCCTTTTTAAAATGCGTGTTTTCTAAATGTAGCTTGGCTAAGCTAACGTTATAT